ACACCGGCTTTATGATAAAGGTGACAAGCAGGGAACTCGATCCCGTCCCCAAACAGGAGCCTGGCCTGGATCGCTCGGCTCCCTCTCCATCACCCCCCAGGCTTAGAAGGAAAATGAAAATATTGTCTCTTGTGAATTTAGGAGCCAAGTTAAAGAATACTTCTAATGAGCAGGGGCCACCTCCTCCCGAGAAAGTTGTTTCCCTAACCCCGAGAACAGGACGCCTTGTCTAATAGGGTCTGCCTGACTCCCCCACGGCCCTCATCTGACCCGGGGATGACCTCCATCTCGGGTCAGCCCTTCTGTTCTGGGAGACTGGTTCAGGCCTCCTCCTCGCCCTGTGGAATCCCAACCATGGGCAGCCATGCATCTCCACCAGAATCGTGACTCCACGCAGGGAGAAAGAAGATGGATGGCTGGCCCTCATCAGGTTCACATCTAGACTCAGCTCTGTGCGAAGTCACATCTGGCAGAATCAGGGAGAGTCAGGCAGGTGCTGGAGGTGTCAGAGTCCAGGCAAGGAGGTGTCTCTCCACACCAACACTCTGCCCCAGCCTGTGGCCCTCCCCTCCCCCTCCCCATTCTTGTTTCAGCTTTGACTTGGAGCCACGCAGATCCCAAAGCCAGCCACATTTGGGGATGGTGGGGAGGGGAAGCAACAGCAGGGGGTGGGGGTGAGGGGTGCACCGGGGAGCCTCAGGGTTGTTAAAACAGTGGAGGAAGGGAAGCGAGGAGTTGCCACAGACTCCAAGCACAAATGTGCCAAGTGTTTACCCCATGTCCCGTGTACTTCCTCTGCTGCCTTTTTAGAGAGATGTGCCCCAACATTGCCGGGCTTCGTGGTGTTTAATGGGGTCAGAGGCTCTTTGAATCAGAAAGGCCTATCTTCCCTATCTGTCCTTGGTGGATGACTCAGGAGAGCACACGCAAGTCACGGGGAAGCAGGTGAGCGAGCCGTGGTTCCGGCTAACCCAGGGAGCGGCTGAGGCTGTGAGCTGGTACTCAGTGGACACCAGCGGGCGAGGGCAGGAAGGCCAGCATTACCATGCCATCCTCTATTCTACAGCTCTTGTGTTTTACGTTGCCGTTTAGTCCTTCCTCAGTGATTTCCAAATCACTGGCCTTTGCTAAGCAGGGAGGCATCATGAGTAGGGCTGTCCTGTGAGCTCTACAGCATGTAGCACCTTTGGCCCGCTGTCCACTTCATGCCAGCATCTCCTGTGAGAAGACAGATTCTGTCTGCTGACAGCTGTGTCCCTCCTGACATGCAGTGTTCCCTGTGAACACCGTCTCCCAACCCTCCAGAAACTAGAGCTGGCTCCATATGGTACACACACACTTGTACCATACTCTCCTGAGGGGTGATGCTCGCCATGACCTAACCGCTTCTCAAACCAGGAGCTGCGGACCGTCATTTGCAGAAGCTTCCCTGGTGGCTCTTCTCGGCCTTCGGCTCATTGATTAGCATGTGGTGTATAGTCTGACACAGAGTGGAACTGTGTGTGTGTCCTGACCCTGAGGCACAATGGACTTGGTATCTCCAACCCTGGGTAGATAATCTACCCGGTTTACTTTTCACCCTTGTGTTTGTTGATCTATGGTCAGCTGAGAGCAAGGACTCTCCCCCTTTGTCCTATACTAGCTTTTTCATTTTTTCCTTTTCAGTGCGTGCGTGCGTGCGTGCGTGCGTGTGTGTGTGTGTGTGTGTGTGTGTGTGTGTGTGGTATATGAATGTACATGTAGAGGCCAGAGGCCTGCACTGAGTGTCTCCTCTGTCTCTGCCTCATTGTTTGAGACAGGTGCTGTTGCAGCTGGACTGAATTGAGCCCTCCCTACCACCTCCGTGGGTGCACCCGACTCCTTGTCCTGCTTCCTGCACTGTGGTTATGGATGCACACACCCCCCCCCCCCACTGAGCTTTTGTGCGGGTGCTGGAAATCTGAACTTAGGTCTTGGCAAACGCGGTTCTCTCTTTCTGCACCAGTTCTCATTCTTGCGTCTTCTGCCCAAGGGAGTGGCGAGCTGTTGATGACCTAACTGTGCCACTGAGGAAATGAAAGGAGCCATTGTGGGGGTCTTGGGCATGACCGTGGAGACCTCTGTCTCACTGGTAAAGAGAGTGCCGTTTAGGGATGTCTCGCTGCCTTGAATGGACCCGATACTGTGCCGATCTCCAGTTTGCATTATTGAAGGGGCTGCAGGCCCCCCTTTGCTGGCTCTGGGGTTGAGTGCCTTCTACATGACATTGAGGCTCTGCAGCCCTTCAATGAAGGAAATAATGCTCATTCCAAATGTTCGGGGCTCCCGGAAGGTTTCAGGAGTTAAGAGTTGGTGGTACACGCCAGTAAGCCCAACAACTCAGGAGCCTGAAGCAGGAAAATTGAGTTTGAGACCAGCCTGGGCTTCATAGACAGACGGTTTTAAAACAGAATGTCTAGAGTTTACTCTTTTTCCTTTTGTAAGCACACAGCAGCTTGGCTCTGACATCTGTTCCCCAGGATTTCAGTGGGAATGATTAGAGGTGGTAACTCATTGTCATTTTAGATCCAAATCAAAGGCACTCTATTTATTGATTTGTTTGTTTTGGTTTTTTGTTTGTTTGAGACAGGGTCTCATTGTATAACTCTAACTGGCCTGAAACTTGCTATGTAGACCAGGCTGGTCTCAAACTCTGATCCATCTCCCTCTATCTCCTGAGTGCTGGGATGGAAGCCATGGACCACTACACCCCCCTGTTATTTATCTAAATTTATTTTTATGAGTTTTAATTACATGTATATGTGTGCATTTGGGTATGTGGAAATGCATGAAGGTGCCCATGGAAGCCAAACACACTGATCTCCCTGAATGTGGTGTCACAGGCAGTTGTGAGCAGCCCGGTGTGGGAGGCTGGGAATCGAACCTGAGCCACCCCTCCTGCTCCTTGCTTATTTGTTTTTGAGACAGAGCCTCGACCATAGGCTGACTTTAAACTCCGAGTGCGGATGGCAAGCGTGCCACCCGGGGTCTCACACGTGCGAGGCGAGCACTCTGGTCAGTCACGTGCTCCTTGCACACTCTGTCTGCTTCACTTCAAGCTGTGCGGTTTAAGATTGCCACCTAAGATAACAGGTTGGGGCTGAGATGGTTCTGCCTTTTCTCCCATCTGTTTAATGTCAACACAGGGCTCTAGAATTTCTTCATCCATTCTCTTGCTCCAGATAGAGATTTTTAAAGGCTAAATTGGGTACTGAAGCGTGTTTTGGTACCAGAGCTATCCTAGCAGGTGTGAGACCTGGGTTCGATCCCCCAGAATTGAAGAACAAACCTGTTGGATGTTTGTTGGATGGTCCTGCAGGTCTGTTAGCATCTAAGAGTCGTGGATTGCGTAGACCTGGGTGTCCTGGAGAAGGTCAGGGCGAGACCCCCGTTTTTCCCCGTCTCCTGGTCTTGGGAGGCAGTGGGAGGTAGAGCAGCAAGCGGCCTGTGGTCGGATGGGGTGTCGGGCAGGCATGTCATCATGGAAAATTCTTCGCCAAGCACGCAGATCCACTTACACAGCCTCTGCTGCTTCTGCAAGCTGTGCATTCCTTCGGAACCATCCATGCGTTCCCTCCTTCCCTCCAAACCTCAGTCATGCTTCGGGCGGCTTAGAAATGATGGCCTCCCCAACTCTCCTTTGTTTCCATGCCTCGCTCTGTTCCCCGCTGTCCTTGGCTTGGATTTCATAGGAAAGTTGGCTGAATTTCTGGCCTCTTAGTCTGATGGGTCACCCTGGGGCTGACCTTGAATGACAGAACTTAACCACCACCACCACCCCTGCCCAGAGTTAGAGCCTCTTACGGGCTCTTTGGTACAGGATGCGGCTACTGATACAGCTCGGGTGATTGGTGAGCTGAGTGGTGGGCAGAGCTGACGTTTGGGGGGAGGTAGGTATGTGGGACAGGGTCTGGTGCTTTTCCTGGAGGAGATGATGCCTGCCCTGGGGCCTCCTACCTGTTGGAAACTGGGGGCTGGTTATACAGTTTTGATCACCTTCAAGGGCACTCACCACCTGCTTATCTGTCCTTGCCCCAACAGCTGCTTAGCCCAGGACAGGGAGAGGAGAAGGTCCAGAGAAGGGGGTCTGTCCAGAGGAGGGCACCTGAGCGTTCTCAGAGTGGGAAAGGATGCTTAGGGGGTTTACCTATCCTCAAGGACAAGGACACCCCCGTATCCTTGTCCTCAAGAAGATACTGAGCCGAACTCAGTGACCAGGGGATATGGTTGGAGGTTCCTTCCCAGGCCATAGAGGACTTAGGTGTAGGGGACTTCCGAGGTAACTGCATCGCGTCTGAGCCTTAGCGAGGTGGAACAATCAGTCCCTGGACCAGCACCACCTGGGAACCCTTTGGAAAAGCCTTCTCCCCAGCAACCTGCGATGCAAGCTTTCTCAGCTCTGGGTGATTTGGGAACACGGTTCTGTCAAATTTTGGAGCCAGGTGCCTGGTTCCTATTCCTCCCTAGCTATGTGGACCTGAATAGCTTGTTCAGCTTCCCTGGTTCTCTCTTTAAGATGTTTCAGCTGTATAATAAAGACACTGCTAGTCACCTTGATATTATAATGGTTAAGTGAAGATACTCTGAGGTGTGTCATTGCTGTTGGTGTTGGTTGGGGGCAGGGTCTCAGATACCCAGGCTGGCTTCAAAGGATGATCTTGACCCTGATCATTCCCTTTTCGTTTTTCAAGACAGGGTCTCTTTGTGAAGCCCTGGCTGTGCTGGAACTCACTCTGTAGACCAGGCTGGCCTTGAACTCAGAGACCCGCCTGCCTCTGCCTCCTGAGTGCTGGGATTAGAGGCGTAAGCCGCCTCTTCAGTGTTGTCATTGAAAGTGTGCCACGGTGCTAGGTTTATGTCATGCTGGGAACAGAGCTCAGACTGCACATGCATGCTATGCAAGGGGGCCATTGCCATTGAGCTACGTCTCTGTTGCCCAGAGACCGTCTCAGCCCTGACCTTCCCTCTGCTTCTCTTTCTAGGTGGTGTCTGATGCTGCAGATCAGGGTGTGGCCATTACAGGGAACCAAACTTTTAACAACTGGAACTGGCCTAATGCGATGATTTTCGCAGCCACGGTCATCACTACCATCGGTGAGTCTCCTTAGTCCTCCAGAATACCCACGTCCACGCCCTCATGCCTCAGAACTCTGTAGGAGTCAGGCTTTGGTGACTGAATCCATGTTGGCCACCAAGTCATACACACAGTTTTACCATGGCCTTCCAATCAGGACCTGATTTGGACTCTGTTTTATTATTTCTGCATGTGTGTGTGTGTGTGTGGTGTTTGTATTTGTGTGGGCACACATGGATGGGGGGGTGTCCAATGTTGAATCCGTGTCTTTGCTCTCTACTTTATATACCGAGGCATGGTCTCTACCAAACCAGAAGTTCACCATTTTGGCTAGTCCAGCTAGTGCATTTGCTCCCGGGATCCCGTGTCTTTGCCATCCTTGTGCTTGAGAAGCAGGCACCACACCCACCCAGCCTTTACACGGATTCCAAGATTCTGAATTCCAACGGGTCTCAGGAATATTGGCATGGGCTGATGGCTAGCACCACACGGGTTAGGTAGACTGCTTACTGGAAGTCGGTGGCTTAAAGCAGTTAGTGTCTTCTACCTTTGGGGGCTTGGCTGGGTTCAGCCGACAGTTCTCGTGTGGGCTCTCCAGCACATGGTAACCAAACAGTGGCTGCGCCCCCTCTAACCCTAACACCCCCCCACCCCCACCCCCCACCCCCCGGCCTGGAGTCCAGACGGCTCCTCCCACCTACTGCTTGAGGTTTGATGCTGACAGCTGGCCGAGGCTGACCGCACAGGGCCTCTGCGTGTGGCTCTGCAGCTGGGCTCTGGGAAGGAAGAGTCTCAAGTCATGAAGGCAGGAAGTGGCCCTGGGCTTTTCCAGCCTCACCTGCCTGTGTCATTTCTGCCCCTCTGGCCAACCAAGTACCGGCACTCAAATTCAGAGACCCCGCCTTGACACGAGCATTTGCATAGGGGCAGAGGAAGTAGGAGTCTATTCTTCATACTGCTTCTGAGTATCTACTCAGTGGGGGCAGGGCATCTGTCTCATTTGCATAACAATGCCAAGTGGACCAGTGAAGTGCCAAATCATGATGGACCTAGTGCCCGCCCACAGGGAGCTCCCAATATAATGGAGAGGTCAGCCCTTGCTGTAGAAATGGTTGTATAAATGAGCAGGGCCAGAGCATGACCAAGGGAACACGTGTGTGTGTGTGTGTGTGTGTGTGTGTGTGTGTGTGTGTGTGTTGTGGCTCTATAATCTTGGCTACGAGGCGTCCCTTGCTTGATTCTTTGTCTTCCTGCAGGTTATGGCAACGTGGCCCCCAAGACCCCAGCTGGGCGCCTCTTCTGTGTCTTCTATGGTCTGTTCGGGGTACCGCTGTGCCTGACGTGGATCAGCGCCCTGGGCAAGTTCTTCGGGGGACGTGCCAAGAGGCTGGGCCAGTTTCTTACCAGGAGAGGAGTGAGCCTGGTATGTCCCAAACCCTAGATACAGAGATAAGGGGTGGGAGGGGCCTTCAGGGGAGGAGAGATGTTAGCACTGATGGTGCCTTGTCCTGCTGGGGCTCTGTCCTGCCGGGGCTCTGTCCCTTCCCACGGGTGACCAACTCGCTTTCCCACCACTCCACCAGCGGAAGGCTCAGATCACATGCACGGCCATCTTCATCGTGTGGGGTGTCCTGGTCCACCTGGTGATCCCTCCCTTTGTGTTCATGGTGACGGAAGAATGGAACTACATCGAGGGCCTCTACTATTCCTTCATCACCATCTCCACCATTGGCTTTGGGGACTTTGTGGCCGGTGAGTCCCGCCTCCTTCCCCTGACCTCTGCCTCATCACCTGACCTTTGGGCACCTGAGCCTGATGAGTGTCCTCTTGGTTGTTAGTCTTTTATCATTCTCCCCATCTCTCTCCTGCCACCACCCCACACCAAACTCACCCTCTTACCTGCGGAATTTGAGCATTTTCCAGAGCTCTAGACACACACACACACACACACACACACACACACACACACACACAGCTGAGCCAGGGTGGCTCCTAGACAAGGGAGGCCTTCTCCCCCAACTTCCTCCCCCCAAGCCCTACACTCCTCCTCCTCTGCTTAATCCGCACAGGCAATGAAGAGGTTCTTTGTCCCCTTTGTGTGAGGACTGCGCCTGTCCCAGACACCCATGCTTAGTGCCTTGTGCCTTGTGGCCTGCACAGTTTCCTGGTTCCTAATTTTCTTGAAATCCTTTTGAACCAGTATCTGTCTGTGCCCTCCCTGTTGACCTCCACCTCTGCTCCCAGAGGTCACTGCGCCAGCTGCGTTGCCCAGAGGGGCAGGTGGAGGTCACGCCTCTGCCCCTGTTTGTGTGGAATGCTGTGAGGGGGCAGCCGAGTGGGTAGAGGGAACGGGACGCTCTCTCTACGGTGAACACTCCTGACCTGGCTTCCTGGGCCCTGCCTACTGTCTGGACATCAATTTAGAGACACAACCCTACCATTGTTTTGTTCCAGAGGCCCAGAGCCTGCTGGGTACCCTTTAGCCATACTTCTGGGGTCCAATGAGACTCCATACCCGTCCTCCCGTCTTGGGTGCCTGTAACGCTAGCTGCACAGTTGAATCCCCTTCAGTTCCTGGGTGCTCAGGGTAGAAATCGCCTATGTGAGGCCGTGACTTCATCGTTACCATTATCCAACTCCGCTTGTGCTCAGGAGCCCTGTGCAAGCCTGACTACAGAGCCGGGCACCACCCCAGGCAGGGAAGCAGGCCTAGTCAGGGATGGAGGTTGTCTCTTCCGGGCCCTTCCCTCGAGTCACCTCCCGTCTGGGAAGGCTGGGAAGGCAGGGTGAAGATCAAGGTAGCGAATACGAAGTCACGAAGCCTGTCTGTGAAAGTTGCATTCATTTATTTCTGTGTAGGGAGGCGTACGGTATGTATGGAGGTCAGGAACAGTTCCCATGGGCTGGTTCTCTCCCCTTCTACCATGGTGTCCTGGGGACCAAACTCAGGTCCTTAGGCAAGCACCGCTACCCACTGAGCTGTGTCCCTGATCATGGAGGGAATCGTAACTATTCTAGAAGGGAGGAGAACCTCTAGAGCTGTGAGTTGAAGGTGGGAAAGACTTTGCAGAGCCATTGTCACAGAGGAGCGTGCTGAACGGTGGAGCCATCCAGGCCAGTCAAAGAGCTGCCCTGAAGAGGGCAGAGACAGGGAGGCAGACTCCGCCTTGGAGGAGGGTAAAGACAGTTTAGAGTGGTTCTTGCCAGGTCACTGCTTCCTAGGTCGCCCTGACCCAAGTACCAGCATCGTTCATAGTAAATCAGTTAGTCCCTCCCCGGTGCCGAGGCTGCAGCACCCCCATGTCCAGTCTCCATTCCAGTCTTAACTGAGCTGTGACGCGCTCACTGGCTTCGAGGAGCAAAGAATGAACAGGAGGGCGCATACTCAGGAGATGGTTATTTAACTCCGGGAGCCCCTTTAACTAACGCCCTCAGAGGGCGCATACTCACGGATGGTTATTTAACTCCGGGAGCCCCTTTAACTAACGCCCTCAGAGGGTGCATACTCAGGAGATGGTTATTTAACTCCGGGAGCCCCTTTAACTAACACCCCTCGGAGGGTGCATACTCACGGATGGTTATTTAACTCTGGGAGCCCCTTTAACTAACGCCCTCAGAGGGTGCATACTCACGGATGGTTATTTAACTCCGGGAGCCCCTTTAACTAACGCCCCTCAACCGGTAAGTGGCCTCGATTCTGACTTTGTGCAGTTGGAGAAACTGAGGCTCAGAGATGGGCTGGGCTGGAGCTGCAGTCCTTCAGGAAGAAGATGGGTGAGGTGGTCTGGGCTTGGTTCATGTGTCTCACAGATGTGTAGAGTCACCCTCCGCTGTCATTTGCTAAGAAGCCACCCAACCTTGGGTTTTTAAGACAGAATCTCATTAACCTAGAGCCCATCTATTTTACTAGCTGATTGGCCAGTAAGCCTCAGGGCCCCGGCTATCTTAAACTCTGGGATTATAGCTGTGTTCCATATACCTGGCCTGTGGGTTCTCTAAAACAATAAGTAAACAGTTTTGTTTTGTTTTGTTTTGTTTTTTCGAGACAGGGTTTCTTTGTAGCTTTGGAGGCTGTCCTAGAACTCACTTTGTAGACCAGGCTGGCCTTGAACTCACAGAGATCCGCCTGCCTCTGCCTCCCGAGTGCTAGGATTAAAGGTGTGCGCCACCAACGCCCGGCTTTTTTTTGTTGTTGTTGTTGTTTTTAATGTGCAGGGGTTTTTTTTTTGCCTGCATGTATGTCTGTGTGTCTGATGCCTTCAGAGGTCAGAAAGGGTGACAGAGCCCCTGAAACTAGAGTGACAGCTGTTGTAAGCAGCCCTGTTGATGCTGGGAATCGAGCGTGAGAGCCAGCGCTCTCTGCTGTGGAGCCAACCCTGCAGCCCTTATGTGGGTTCCGATGCTGGAGCTCAGGTTCCATCTTAGAGGTGCCTCCTCCTGGGCTGTCTCCCCGGGTCCCTTCTTGGACACTGCGCTCTGCGTGGTTTGCTCAGGCAAAGCACAGTGTCGGCCTCTGCTGACCTCTGAGCGTCCTGTCTCCACAGGTGTGAACCCCAGTGCCAACTACCACGCCCTGTACCGCTACTTTGTGGAGCTCTGGATCTACCTGGGGCTGGCCTGGCTGTCCCTCTTTGTCAACTGGAAGGTGAGCATGTTTGTAGAAGTGCACAAAGCCATTAAGAAGAGGCGGCGGCGGCGAAAGGAATCCTTCGAGAGCTCCCCACACTCCCGGAAGGCTCTGCAGATGACTGGCGGTGCAGCCTCCAAAGATGTCAACATCTTCAGCTTCCTGTCCAAAAAGGAGGAGACCTACAATGACCTCATCAAACAGATTGGGAAGAAGGCAATGAAGACAAGTGGGGGTGGGGAGAGGGTCCCAGGACCTGGGCATGGGCTGGGTGCTCAAGGGGATGGACTGTCTAACATCCCCGCATCCCTGGTGCCTTTGGTGGTCTATTCCAAGACTCGAGTGCCCAGCCTGGAAGAGGTATCTCAGACTCTAAGGAGCAAGGGGCATGTGTCCAGGCCGCTTGGTGCCGAAGCTGAGGCACAGGCCCCCAAAGATGGCTACCCAACCTCCGAAGTGTTTGTTAACCAGCTGGACCGTATCAGTGAGGAGGGCGAGCCGTGGGAAGCCCTGGACTACCATCCGCTCATCTTGCAAAATGCCAACATCCCCTTTGAAAATGAGGAAACCGGCCTCTCGGATGAGGAGACCTCCAAGTCTTCCGTGGAGGACAACTTAGCCTCCAAGGAGCAGCCTCAACAGAGGCCTGTGGCTGAGGCGCCCTTGAGCGCGGGTGAATTCCCGTCCTCAGATGAGTCCACCTTCACCAGCACCGAGTCAGAGCTCTCGGTGCCGTATGAGCAGCTGATGAATGAGTACAACAAGACCAACAGCCCCCGAGGCACGTGAGGAGGGCCTGGCTCCCCGCCTGCTCTCCAGAGGCTTCTGCCCCTCACCGGGGTTATCCTGTGATGGCCAGACCCCTGGAAGTGAGATGGGGAGCCAGGGACCTGCTTTTCCTTCTGTCCTCTCCAGCCGGTTGCTTCCATGGGATGTGAAGTCTACCCAGGACAGGCCTCCGTGCTAAGGCCCCCATGGGGAGGCTGCTGTCCTGGGCCTGCCTGGCAGGTATGTCTGCTGACTCGAGGCATGTAGGCCCCAGCACCCACTCACCCTGGAGGGCCTGTGTCTGCTGCTTAAGTCTTCCCCCATTGTTCGGTTGATTGTCACACGGTTTTCTGAGGCCAGGAGCTTCGGCCAAGTTCACCAGTATTAATGGGCACCTCCTGTGTGCCCGGAACTGAGCTAGGCATTTGGAAAAGGAGCTTGTGAGACCCAGGGTTGTCGTGTAGGAGTTCTCAAGTGTTCTGGGGAGGCACAAGTATGATGGGGTTCGGGGCACCTCAGGACCCATCTGCCCATCCATTCATCACTCTGCCCAGCAAGCCCTTTACTGCAAACCTCAGGGCAGGGGCTGGAGAAGCTGGGGGTGGGGGGGTAGTCCTTTGTGTATCCCAAGGCTTTCTGTTCCCTGGAAGTTCAGGGGAAAGATGGGTAGCTATGGGAACCAGGACTCTGGCATGGTCAGGGTGCTCAACATGAGGTACAGGCCTCTTAGCCCCTGCCTGATGGAAGTCCCAGCCCCAACCTGGGCATCCACACTCGCAACCCACCATCTCATTCCCTGGGGATCCCTCACTGCCCCTCCCCCTCCCGCCTCTCTTAGCAGGGCCTATGGGGTGAGGCCAAGCTGTTCTTGGCTTATAGAACTGTGAATTGAGCTCCCCCCCCCCGCCAGCCGCTGTTTGGTGGTGATGTGTACAGGTGCCAGTGGGCATGCGTGTGTGCATTTGGGCTGGGGAGAAAAGAAAATGTGAATCTTACTGGACCAGATGTTCCTGGTGAGGTCTGGGAACGAGCTGCTGCAATTAAGTCCTTGATGCTCAACCTCCAGCCAGCCCGCTCTGGCCTAAATGGTTTTTATTATTAATATTTTTTAATGGATCATTCTTTTTATACCCAGAATCTGTCGTTGGCTTCAGAGCCGACAAAGAACAGGGTTTCTACAAGTGGAATGGATGTCTGTAGAGGGCGCTCTGCTGTCCTCCCAACTCAGCTTGTCCTTTGTGGTAGTGTCAGCCGAGGCCTCACGCAGAGCTGGGGGGAGCCGGGCGGGGACGCCGCTGCAGAGATCACTGGGTGTGCTGGGTAGGAGACGGGAGTTCCCAGTTCAGCTGATAACCTTCCCCAGCTCCTTCCCTTGCTGTGTACATTCTGCCAAGGGGCATATAGGGCCAGAGCCCCCCCCCCCCAACACACACACACACACATTGAGACAGTGAGAGGTGTGTGTCCATACCTCACCATCCTCTAAGCGGTTGTAGAGGCCACGCGGGCCTCAGGGTGGAGGAACAGCCTGTCTCCTGTGAGAAGTGTCCCGAGCTGAATGTCCTGGAGCTACGCTGACCACACTGTGTGCATGTACTGCTGGTGAAAGCAGATGTAACTTATTTTAACATTTTTACAATAAAACACAAGAACCAGCCCACTTGCTGCGTGGTGTGTGGGGCTGGGGGCGGGGATGGGCAAGGGGACCTGGGACAGGCTGATGTCGGTGGGGCAGAATTGCTGTTGAGATCAAGAAAGAGAACTCCAACAAGAGCCTTCAGGAGCCGGCAAACAAGATGTCCTTCTCACTTATCTGATGCTCACACAAAAGTCTGCCCCAGAGCAATCTGAGGAAAAGTTATTGGCTTACGCACTTCCAGGCCGCAGTCCGTCAAGAGAAGCTAGGGCAAGAACCTGGAGGCAGGAGCCATGAAAGAACATTTGCTGGCCTGGGATTTATGCCTCATTACAGGCATGCTTAGCTGGGTTTCTTGAGCGGCCCAGGACCACCTAGGGATGGCTCTACCCACAGTGGGTTGAACCCTCCTTCATGGATTATAGTCAAGGCAGTCTCCCACAGCTGTGCCCACAGGACAGCCTGAGCTAGGCAACCCCTCAATGGAGGTTCTCCTTTCAGACAGTGTCAAGTTGACATTTAAGGCTAATCAGGACAGGTAGGATGGCGGTGGCCAAGTCTGCCCCTCACTAGCTTCCAGATACCTCTCTATAGACTTTACACCTAGCAAAGCATAGAGGAAAAGCTCTCACCTTGCAATGGTTCTATCCTAGAAGTGAGTGGAGCAGGGAGCAGACAGGTGTCTGAGGCACAAACTTGTGCAAACATTAGTAAGAGTGGGGAGGTTGGCTTTGAACCCAGGCAGCACAGTTCCTGGCCGTCCACAGCCATCCTGGTGGGTTGAGAAAATGGCTAGTGGGTTTGTGGTGGGTCTGACATCATTGGAAGAGCCTCCATCACCAGCTGGGTGAATCAGGACTTTTCCCCACTCGAGGAGTCTGGAAACAGCATGTACTGGGCATGGGCACCCTGGTTTTGTGTGTGTGTGTGTGTGTGTGTGTGTGTGTGTGTGTGTGTGTGTGTACCTGGAGAGATTACTCACAGGTAGAAACACTTGCCAAGTGGCCCTGACAGCAGTTTTTGATTCCCAGAGTACACTTAAAAAGCAAAATGAGGTGACGAGTCTAATCCCAGCCCCAGCATCCCTCGAGTGCGATGGAGAGTCGGCTAGAAGCTCCTAGGCACAGTGGTGAAGTAGGTTTTAACTCCAGCACTCAGAGGCAGAGGCAGGCGGACCTCTGAGTTCCAAGTCCAGCATGGTCTACAGAGTGAGATGCAGAATAGCCAAGGCTTCACAGAGAAACCTTGAACAAACAAGCAAGAAAAAAAATGTGCCTGGTATGGTGCCTCCTACCTGTAATCTCAGTGCTCCTGAGGCCAAAGCAGGGGCATCCAGGAATGAACATCTTTGACCAGGACGTGGTCCCCTGATGCAGAAACTGCAGCACTTTAACCCATGGAGCCGTCTTCCCAGCCACTGCCATCTCTATAAGGAACATGTACTGTTGAATTGGGAATGCTTCCTGTCTGCCTGTCCATCCCCACACACACACGCACATGCCCTCAGATGTGTAGGTCCAGTGCTTTCTGCTTTGACTTTGACCTTAAGATAACAGCATCATAAACACCAACAGCCTTTATTTAGCACAAGGTTGCTTCACAAACTCCTCTGACAGTTGCCACTTAAAACAGCATCACCCTGCCCCAGCAGCGCCAGTCACTAGAGTGGGGACTCAGGGAGTGGCGTTCAGGGCCACAGCTGAAGCAGACACGCTGCAGGTTATCAACATAACTGAAGAGGGTCAGGCTGTGGTCTTACTGTGGCCAAACTTAACCTGGAGCTTTCTAAACAAGTAGGAAAGGCTGAAGAGCAGCTACAACAGAGCCCTGAGATGCCCAGCTTCCCGAGTGGTCATGGACCGAGGAAGGGTGTACTGCAGGGGTGAGGGCTAGGGGCGGGGGCACCACAGTGAGCTGGCCTGAGGCTCAGAAGTCACTGGACACTCTGGCAGGGACTGCCCTCTTTGAAGCCACTGGATTATCCATAGCCTGGGCCAGTGTTGCAGATGAGTGAGATCAACAGAGAGGTGGAAATCCATGGGGTCTCTCCTACTCCAGCAGGCTGCCCCTCCCAGCAGGGCCCCGATGCCTCCAGAAGCTTTCCTGCCCTAGCGTAAGACAGCTCCCTTCTCTCCATCAGAATTGCTGCGCTTACTGCTCGGTAGCCACTGTTAACTGGGCACCTGCTCTGTGCCCGGCAGCCACTGTTAACTGGGCACCTGCTCTGTGCTGGGTGAGGAACAAGCACTTCTGGTGCTGCTAGGTGGACAGGCAAATGGCCCCCTGCATCCAGGGAGTTGGCAGTGGTGCAGGCCAATTTTCAGAGTGTGTGATAGGCATTGATACTCGTTCGTTTTAGTTGTTCCTAGTTGGTTTTATTTCCCCCTCTCTTAGATTTATTTTCTAACTTTAAATTAGGTGTGTGTCTTGTGTTCGTATATGCATATGAGTGCAAGCCTTTGAAGAGGCCAGAAGAGGGCATCATGTCCCTTGGAGCTGCAGTCGCATGCGGCTGTGAGTTGCCTGATGTGGGTGCTGGGAATTGAGCTCAGGTCCTCCAGAAGAGCAGTACATGTTCTTAACTGCTGAGCCGTCTCTCTAGCTCCTGAACTTGCGTGTGTGTGTGTGTGTGTGTGTGTGTGTGTGTGTGTGTGTGTGTGTACTTTGAAAATCCCATGCATGCATCCAACATATTATTTTGCTTACATTTACTCTATTTTACTCCAGGAATATAACCTTATTCCTACCCCTAACTTTGTCTGGATTCATTTCTCATCCCCTCCCAACTTCATATCCTCATTTACAACAACAACCTATTGAGTGCAATCTGTGCACATGGGTGGGGGGCCACCCCCTGGAGCACAGTGGGCCTACCAGGGCCACACTTCTCAAGCACATTGACTCTGCTTCCCCTGCAGTCAGCAGTTGTCAATAGCTCCTCAGTTAGGGGTGGGGCCTGGTGAGCCCCTCCCCCACCCATGCTGGACCGTTGACTGGGTTGATCGTGCGTGGGTCTTATGCGGGCAGTCACGTTGCTGAGTTCATGCATGCAGTGGTCCTGTCGTGTCGACAAAGCAGTTTGAACCAGTTCTCTCTGACCTCTGACTCTTGAGATCTTTCTGCCCCCTCTTCCACAATGTTCCTTGAGCCGTGGGGTTGGAGCTACAGATGCTCATTTGTGGCTGTGCACCCCACAGGCGCTTGTTCCCTGCCCTTGAGTGGTTGTGAGTCTTCGCACTGCGTTAGAAAGCTTTAAGACCGCTTTTATCTACGCCTTTTAAGCCTAACGTATTATTAACTTCATTTTACAAATGAAGAAGCTGAAGAAAGTAATTTTCCCCAAGTTCAAATAGCTATGAGGTGGCAGAAAACACCTGCCCAGGCTTGCATTCCTGTCCCTTACACCACCCTCTGGCAGTTCCTAATCTGATAAGGAAGACAGACATTCAAAATCTGTTGGAGGTGGCTGGCTCTGACCTTCAAGGAGTCTGCAATCTGAGGGACTGGGGAGGCCAGAAATGGCAAAACCAGCACCTCTGTCCCAGCTGTCTCTCTGCCTTCCTGTGAGACCCCAGAAGAGTCATCGTGCCAGGGTGCAGGAGAAAACGCCTGCTTAGGTGTCACCTCCTCCTGGAAAAAACCCTGCCAAGGGCAGGGATTGCTTGGGGGAATTTCTGAAACCTAGGGCAGAGTCTGGGGCGGCAGTGGGCAAGTCGGGAAGATTGCCCCAAGACCAGTCTCGGGCAAAGACAACCTCTCTTCGAGGGACCCCAAGGTTTGGTCTCAACCCTGCCCAAGCACTCTCCGTGTTTGAATAGCAAACATTTATTTGGTATTTGGGGAGGAGGCAGCCCCATTGTCCTTGTAGGAGTCACAGAACAAGGTACAGGACACAGACATCTTTCATTATGTGTGTTCTGGGGGATCAAACTCAGGGAATCAGGCTTGACAGCAAGTGCCTTTACGTGCCGAGCTGTCTTGCTGGCCCCAGAGTCCCAACTTTGAAACCCAGGTCTAGCTAGTCTATGAATCTCCAGACTGTTCATGTTATTCATGGCCCCCCTCTTCACCCGCCTTTTCTTCCGTGGGGTTGTCGACTGTAGACTTCCCATAGCCACTAGTTAGCCCTCCCTGGTCTGGGCTGGGTGTCTTTGCCTGTGCTGCGGCTGTGTCCCCTCAGGGAACCACCTCTGCTCAAACTGCTGAGTCCTCTTCAAGTTCCCGGTCTCCTTCTCTCGTGCCCTCTCCCCGGGCAGAAGGCACTCACTTTGGACAGCAAGGAATGGGTTTTCTCATGTACGCATTCCCACCGGGGCCTGGCTACGTGGAGGTGGGCACTGCCTTCTGGTGTTTGGAAAATTCAGGGTGAATGTCCCCCAAGCTCCACCCTTATCATCGGCAGCTCTGTCGCTCTGATCATGGGGCAGAGGCCAAAGCAGGGCCAAAGCTTGTTCCACGAGGGCGAGTCCCAACAAAGCCAGCTGGATGAACCTGAGGGACCTCGGGGCAGGCTGAGGTGGCCTGATGAGTCACCTCATCTCATGCCAAGTCACCTGAATAGAGGGTGGGACGGGGACAGGGCATACCTGACTTCTCCCCACCCGAGAGCACGGCTGCTCCAAGCCTCCCCTTGGCATCTTCACTTCCTGGTGTTTCCAGATGATGGTAACAGAGTTCCCGTGCCCCCCAGTTCCAGTGTGTCCCCAGCCATGCTCAACCGTGTCCTGCCTCCTGGCTGACAAAGCCTTTCACACCCATCCCAGTGTGGGATTGCTCAAGGAGCCAGGCAGACAGGAGCATAGCTTCACACCTGACTGAAGGGCCTTTTGCACAGGAGGAAACCTGGTGCCTCGGTTTGGGCCCAGGAGGGCGAGGCCTCAGGCAAGATCTGGGGGATGGTCAGAAGTAACAGAAATGGAGACGGGGTGATAATGGAGGCAACAGAGGTATACTTTTAAAAATATATATTATGCCGGGTGTTGGTGGCGCACGCCTTTAATCCCAGCACTCGGTAGGCAGAGGCAGGTGGATCTCTGTGAGTGTGAGACCAGCCTGGTCTACAAGAGCAAGTTCCAGGACAGCCTCCAAAGCCACAGAGAAACCCTGTCTCGAAAAACCAAAAAAAAAAAGAAAAAAAAAAAAAGAAGAAGTAACAGAAATGGAGATGGGTGATAATGGAGGCAATAGAGGTATACTTTTAAAAATATATATTATATTTCAGCTCAGTAGTGCTGGCCCATGCCTTTAATCCCAGCACTCAGGAGGCAGAGGCAGAGGCAGGTGGATCTCTGAGATCGAGGTCAGCATGGTCTAGAAGAGTGAGTTCCAGTGTCTCAAACAGCAAAAAGCTGAAACAAAAGAAAAAATTTAAGTTTGACGTATGTGCCCCCCCCCCGTGTGGGGGGGGAGTGTGGGTGTGTGGGGGGGGTATGTGTGGGTGGTCAGAGGAGGATGTTGGAGTCCCTGGAGCTGGAGTCCCAGGTGGTTGTGAACTGCTCAGCGTGGTACTAGAAACAGAACTCAGAACCTCTCCAAGGGCTCTAAACTGCTGAGCCTGTCCAGTCTGGAGATGCACATTTGAACCAGTCACACCGGGTGGGGCCAGAGCTCCACCCTGCTGGGGCACCTCTGTGAAGGGGCAGTAGGACATACCCCTCGGGCTGATCTCTCTGGATGAGGGCTTCTTTCTTCCACTTTCAGTGAAGGATGGGGGCAGGCTTACTGGCCAGAAGCCTCAGACAAGCATCTTCCCCTCCTAACTCCTCAGCAGCAAGAACCGGCTACTTCCCCAACAAAAGCAGCCCCCTTGGATGTGGCTGACTTTTACTTGCTTGTTTCTTTTGCAGTTCTGGGAAGAGAAACTCTTTAAACTGAACTCCATCTCCAGCCTACCTGGGCTGTTTTGGTCTATAAGACAGGTGATTTCTGCCACTTTTGGACGTATGTTAGGAAGGTATGACACATCTGTGCTTGGGCAGGGGGAGGTGATGACAATTTAAGAAATCCAAGCACCCTAAGACCCAAGCAATGAAGAAACCAACTCTAACGATGTGTCAAGAGGACCGGCCAAGCTGAGAAAACATCTTGAATATCCCAGCCCTAGGTGATGTCACAAGGAACCTAGCCAGCCAGTCTATAAATTGCAGAATTATGAGCAATAAATGATGGTCTGCGTTTTAGTTTGTTTTGTGTTGCTATAACAAAATACCTGAGATAGAGTACTTTATAAAATAAAGAGCTTTATTCACCACAGTGCTGGGAATCTCAGAGCATAGTAATGACATGGGCTTCAGGGTGGCTAGCATCACATGATTAGAAGGAGGGGGCGTGGAGAGGGAGAGGGAGACAGAGAGAGAGAGGGAGAGAGAGAGAGGGAGAGAGAGGGAGGGAGGGAGGGAGGAAGGAGAGAGAGAGGAGAGAGAGACAGACAGACAGTGAGAGAGAGGGAGGGAGCAGAGAGAGAGAGAGAGAGAGAGAGAGAGAGAGAGAGAGAGAGAGAGAGAGAGAGCAAGAAAGGCGATTGTTTTTGGAACAGGGTCTCTAGCCAAGGCTGGCCTTGAATTCCCTATGTAGCAAAGAGTGACCTTGAACCACTGATTCTCCTGCCTCTACCTCCCTCCCATGAGCTACCACAGCCAGTTTATAGGGCATCTGGATTGGACCCCACATGTTAGGTGGGTTCTGCCAACTGAACTACATCCCCAGATCCGGATGCAGTTGTTTTTACTCTTTGTCCTTTGTGGGGCCCACCACCCAGCTCCCAAACAAATCACACAGAGTCTTATTCTTTCTAACAAATGCTGGCCTTAGCTTGGCTTGCTTCTGGCCAGCTTTTCTTAAATTCCCCCGTCTACTCTTGCCTCTGGGCTTGTATCTTTATTTTATAAATCCTTCTTTACTTCTGCAGCTTGCTGTGTAGCTGGGTGGCTGGTCCCTGATGTCCTCCTCTCCTCTTCTCACTCCTTGATCTTCTCCTTCTCTCCTCCTATTATCCTCTCTGCCTGCCAGCCCCGCCTATCCTTTCTCCTGCCTAGCTATTGGCCATTCAGCCCTTTATTAGACCAATCAGGTGTTTTAGACAGCCAAAGTAACACAGCTTCACAGAGTTAAACAAATGCCACATTAAAGAATGCAACACATCTTTGCATCATTAAACAAATAAATGTCCCACAGAATAAACAAATGTAACCTATGTTTAATATTCTACAACAAGCCGGGCGTTGGTGGTGCATACCTTTAATCCCAGCACTCGGGAGGCAGAGGCAGGCGGATCTCTGTGAGTTCGAGGCCAGCCTGGTCTACAAAGTGAGTTCCAGGACAGCCCCCAAAACAATACAGAGAAACCCTGTCTCGAAAAACCAAAAAAAAAATATTCTACAACACCCTGAATTTGACTTTAATAGTCTGCCCTTAGGGTAACCAATCCATGCTCACAAAATAGGCACGCGTTCCTTTCAAGGATGGTGCCCCCAAAGATCTAGTCACCATCACTAGATCCCATCTCTTAAAGGTTCTATCTATCGCTGTCAATATAGTCACAATAGGGACCAAGCCTCCAGCTCACCTTTGGCAGACAAACTGTAGAGTAGTCGTTAGTTTGGGGGATGGCTTGTTACACAGAAAGAAATAACTGAAACACTTGTTGGGCTTATCCCAAGCAAGTGGCTGTCTGCTGGGCTATGGGGAAAGTTGTGAGGTAGACATGTCGAGACACACCCCACAGCTATAGGAACATGTGAAGTGGTGAGGTTGGGGGCTGAAGAGATGGCTGGGACGGCTCAGCGGCTGAGCATACTGGGGGTAGCAGAGGACCAGGTTCTGTTCCCAGCATCCACGGGATGGCTCAGAGTCACCTGCAACTCCAGTTCCAGGGGATCTGATTTCCTCTCTGGCCTTCAAGGGCTCCTTCAAACAGATGGTGACATGAACTCAGGAAACACACACACACACACACACACACACACACACACACACACACCTAGCTTCTGGGGCCAGATTCTGGGTACACTTGAAAACTCTATCCTTGGACACAAATGTCATTCGCAACCAATTTCTTATCCTCAGGATGCTAAAGACCCTCTGTTTTCAGGTCTCTAGACCTCGTGCTATCTGTAAAATGTGTTGGAAGGTCTGGAGTCTGACTATTCAGATAGGTGGTCTTTCTTTCTTTCTTTCTTTCTTTCTTTCTTTCTTTCTTTCTTTCTTTCATCCTTTTCCTTCCTTCCTTCCTTCCTTCCTTCCTTCCTTCCTTCCTTCCTTCCTTTTTGAGACTCTGTGTTGTCTCCACTATCCTGGAACTTGCTCTGTAGACCAGGTTGGCTTCAATCTCAGATCCACCTGCCTCTGCCTCCCAAACTCGTGAGTGCTGGAATTAAAGGTTTGCACCACCATCACCTGGCCAGCCAGGTGATCTTAATAGCCATTTTAACACGTATAAAGATGCCCTACTGCGTTTATGAATTATCTTAGGCAGTGTTCTATTGTTGTGAAGAGACACCATGACCATGGCAACTCTTAGGAGAACATTTCATTGGGACTGGCTTACAATTTCAGAGGTGTAGTCCAATATTATCGTGGTAGGGAGCATGGTGGCACTCAGGTAAATATGGCGCTGGAGAAGTAGCTGAGAGTTCTACATTCAGGCGGCAGGAAAAGACAAACAGTGGGACCTGGCTTTGGCTTATGAAACCTCTAAGCCTATCCCCAGTGACACACCTCCAACAAGGATGAGCCTCCTAACCCTTTCAAATAGTGTCACTCCCTGATGATCAACCATTCAAATATGGGAGCCTATGGGAGGCATTCTTACTCAAACCCCACGGTGACGCTACCTTGCTGGCAGCAATGAAGACATTCCAAAGTGATACTTGCCAGTGACTATTGAAACAACAGTCCCCAAGAAATTAAAATTTTATCGGGAATTTTATGCTAGAAGAAGGAACAGATCGGTGCTAACTGGACAAAACAGTTGTCTCAAGGGAAGGGATTTACAACCATGGTTCAGGGAGATCTGAGAACGGACAACGAAAATGGATAGCACTGTACCTAAGTCAGAGCTAGTCAATGCTGCAGTTAACTCCTGCCTCCTATTTAAACCCAAACTTCATGACAGGATGGGAAAAAAAGGCTTGGTGGGCAGATGGGCATCACCAGATCTTCTTGTTTTTCTTCCCAATGAATAAAACTGCCTTTCTTTTCTTCTACTTTTCACTATTATTTTGTTTAGCTGGTCTAATGGGGGTAAGAGGCTGTGCCTCGGTTGTTAGAGCTGCCGAGGCCCAGGCTCTGACTCCAACAACTGTAGGAACAACTACATCCAGGCACTGACGACTGTTTATGAACCTGATCTCCTTTAATCACCCAGCACACTGTATAAGGCTGGCATTGCCACCCTCAATTGAGAACTGAGACTCAGAAAGCCACAAAGGGATAGGCACTTGAGGACGCCAAGTTTGTAGTATGGGCTACTCTCCAAGCCTGCTGGGGGCACATCTCACCACCCCGAGAAGGGTGGCCGGAGACTGTCACCACACCCCAGATAGTGCGCAAGACCACTGGCGTGGAACCGGCAGCCCAGCCCTGTTAAAGGAAGCTTTTTCTTTGCTAGCTGCTTTGGTATATCCCCCGCCAGTCGCCTGGGCTCTGCCTGGTTCTAGATCCGCATGAGTCCCAAATAAACACACAGGAGGTTATATTAATTATGAAGCTGTTGGCCTTGTTCGTCTCTTACTGGCTAGCTCTGCCTTAAGTAATTACCCCATAATTGTTAATCTAAGTATGTCTCTTACCGGAGAATAGTTCCCGGTGTCCTACTCCCATGGCGTCACATGTTGACTCTCCTGTGTTTCTCCTACCCAGAATCCTCCTGGATTCCTAGCCCCACCTATCTAGATTCCTATTGGCCAGACAGTGCTTTATTAGCATAAGACTTCCCCAACCCAGCCCAGCACAGCCCTGGCTGCTCAAGCATCATGGGTGGCTGTAGGAGCGAGGACCTTAACCTTACTTGTAAGAACATCAGCTCAAGAGGGGCAGTGCTTTAATCCCAGCACTCAGGAGACGGAGGCGGGCAGATCTCTGTGAGTTCAAGACCAGCCTGGTCTACAGAGCAAGTTCCAGAACAGCCTCCAAAACAATACAGAAAAACCCTGTCTCAAAAACAAAACAAAAAAGGGGGCGGGGACATTGGACTCAGCAATGTGCACTGTCTGTCCCAGCACTGGGCAGGTAGAGTCAGGTAAGATCCCTCAGGCTTGATGGCCAGCCACCCCTCAATCCTGTGGTGGAATTTTGTAATTCATGAGCTCCAGGCTCAGTAGGAGATCCCCTCTCAAAAAATGGAGACTTGACTCAGCTGTTAAGAGCACTTCCCGATCTTCCAGAGGACCCAAGTTCAGTTCCCAGAACCCATGTTTAGTGGTTCAGGATTGCCTGGCTGTAACTCCAACCCTAAGGGGATCTGACACTTCTGGTCTCTGTGGGCAAGTGGGTGCACAAACTCGTGTGCACACACTCACACACTCACACATACACACTCACTCACACACTCTCACATACACACACTCTCACACACACACACACACACTCACACAATCACCGTAGGGGTTTTCTGGGCTCTGACTTAGAAAGGTCTTGATCAGGAGCAATGAGTAAAAGCTCAGAAATACCCAAGGCCTGAGAACACGGGCCTGGAGAGCTCAGAGGTCAGGGCTGTGGTGTTTCCCACACCCCTGCCAAGCCCTCCTGCCTGTTTCCGGTCTGCACTGACATGGTGTTTACCTCTCCAGTCTCTGATTCCTTCACCTGCAGCTCTGGTCAGCTGAGCTGCTCCATCAGGATTGTTGACATCACGCACCGCATCGCAGATGACTGTGTTTGTTGGGTCTCAGGGAGGTTGCCTAGGACACCTGATGCTGGTGACTGAGGAGGAAGGACAGTGCCTGTCTCTCTAGCCACTCAGTTCTCTGTGCTCAACAGTTCACTCTGGGGAAAGGTTCTAGCTCCGGGGCGGGAGGGGCGTGGGGGCATGGGGGGCTGGGGTCAACTTGTGCTGGCTCATGGGAGCCAAGTGGCTTGCTTTTCAGACTTTTACAAGCCAGCGGTCAAACTAACCACTTAAAGAAAACAATGACAGCGGAACAAAACAAAATTACACCGCAGGATTGAGAGGAAGCTCAGACGGTAGGATCAGAGCTTGATCCCTAGCATCCCCATGAAAAGAAAACCAGGTGTGGTGGCTCATTCTTATAGTTCCAGGACAGGAAAATGGAAACTCCTGAGATCTCTGGCCACTCAGCCCGGCCTAATGGATGAGTTCCATGCCAGTGAGAGACCATGTCTCAAATATCAAGGTAGCTAGCCTGTGAAGGATGACACCTTAGTGCTTGCATGTGCGTGCGTGTAACACACATTACACACACACAGAAACATATTACAAAAAATACTACCAGAAATGAGCATGGGGAGTCATCTCAGCATTGGGAAGCTGAGGGAGAAAGTTATATCCCATGTGTGTGTGTGTGTATATGTGTGTATGTATATATATATGTAATATATATGTATGTGTGTACATATGTATGTATGTATATATTGTGTATGTATATATGTGTGTGAATATATGTGTGTATGTGTATATTTGTGTGTGTGTTTATGTGTGTGTGTGTGATAAAATCAAGACCATCCTAGTCTATATGTATCAAGATCCTGTCTCAAAAAACTAAGTCAAGCCAAAACAATACAGAGAAACCCTGTCTCGTAAAACCAAAAAAAAAAAAAAACTAAGTCGAATTATACAAATATGTAATTAAGCTGCCCCAGCTGCCTCTCCTTCATCAGGCTCAATTACTGCTGTGATAGACAAAAGGCAGGCCACATCCCTGTGCTCCCTGATGAGTCCAGGGAGGATGCTGTGGTTAGCATCCAACAGCTGGATCACAAAGGATTTCATTGTTTGGAGCACTTGGTACCCGTGGCTGTGGTATGACAGGGGATCCCACACGTGTTGACGGCCCTAGGCAGACACGGTTACAGCAGAAGGCCAGGCTCGTCAGCCCCACCCTGAACGCTCCAGGTCCGTCCCACCTGACCCAGGATAGTACCTCCAGCTGTGGCAGCGGCATTCTGTGCGCGCCCTCCTGCCATGCCTGTGAATCCGGAGTCACACGCAAAGCTCTGCCCAGACTGGGTTCTTAGAGAATTTTCTTGTGCAAAAACCATTGAGGATGCGTAAATAAATCTAGAGTGGCATAGTACAACCAGAGGCCTGGGGAAAAGGTCTCTTTTACTTTCTTTACCAGAGCATGCAAATACACCTGTGTACATCTGTCTGTCTGCCTGTCGGTGTCTATAGTGGGAGGTGGGGGTGGAGAGAAATTGGAATTACAGACTGGGGTGGGTTGAGAGGAAGTGGCCCCCAAAGGGAGTGGCATTCTTAGGAGGTGTGGCCTTGTTGGAAGAAGCATGTCACTGTGGAGGCAGGCTTTAATGCCTCAGGTAGCCTGAGCCACACCGAGAATCTCGGATCACTCCCTGTTGCCTTCTGATCAAGATGTAGCCATCACCAAGTCTGCCTTCACACTGCCTTGTTTTGCCATGATGATAATTCTCTGAAAGTGTAAGTCACCCAATTAACTGTTTTCCTTTTTAGAGTTGCCGTGGTCACGGTGACTCTTCACAGCATTAGACACCCCAGGTCTTTACATTTGTTTATTTGCGTATGTGGGAGGCAACACAAATGCCACACAGATGAATGGCGGTCAGAGGACAGCGGGATGACTCAAGTCATCAGGCTTGGCGGCAAGTTGCCTGGATCTGCTAAGCCCTTCTGACAGCCCGCAGACTCTTGGGTTTTTAATAACTCATTGGAAGTGCTCTGTTGTAGTTTTTTTTGTTTTTGTTTTTGTTTTTGTTTTTTTTGAGACAGGGTTTCTCTGTGGCTTTGGAGGCTGTCCTGGAACTCGCTTGGTAGTCCAGGCTGGTCTCGAACTTACAGAGATCTTCCTGCCTCTGCCTCCCCAGTGCTGGGATTAAAGGCGTGCACCACCAACACCCGGCTCCGTTTTAGTTTTGATTTCCCAAGAAGCAGATGCCATGGTGGGGCTACACCAGAATGAATCAGAAGTGACTCTGGTATGTCGCTGTTTGATAGCAGGCATTGCAGGCTGAACTCACAAGCCCGCGGGAGCATCCTAGAATGCTGCGCAGACGAAGGAAGGCAAATAGCCCTGGCTGCTGTGCTGTCTTCCAGGCGCAGGACGCCAAGGGGGTCCCAAGCCTGGGCTTTTCTCCCTCCCTTGGTGCATTCAGTCCCTTGCTGACAGTCACCAATGGCCTGGGCACAAGCTTGGGGGTGGGTTTGAGGGACTCTGACCAGTAGCTGGAGACCTCCGGGGAGTGTTTTAATACCCACTGAGTTATAGGGGAGCAGAAAGCATGGAAGGGCTTAGGGAGGTGGTTCAGTAAAGTGTTTGCCACGCACACAAGAGGACCTAATGTACCCAAAGGTCTTGCCCGGCAGGGAATACCGCAAATTTGTCATCGTAAAGAACCCTGGTGCAGGTTTCAGTCTTCTGTCATTGAAATTGCTCAGCTTAAGAGTGGATGTTTACCTATTGCAGATGTTGACAAGTTGGTCTCAAAGGTCTCACTCAACCACGTGATCTCGAGTTTCCACAGTGGGAGGGGAGGGGGGTATTTTAAGATTGTTTTGCTCCTTCTTGGCACTCAGTGCCCCAAGCCTGACACTTGGCAAGGAAGCCTGTACCCCTAGGGACAGCTGTGGAGCAGCACAGCAAACAAAGGTACCAGACAGTTCCTGCTGCCCCCTTTCCACCTGGGCACACGCACATCCCACAGAGGGAGAGTGGCAGGGCTGCCGAACAATGGAAGCCGTGAGTCATGAGGGAAGGCCGGATGGCGTTTCTCCAGCAAGGCTCCCTCTAGCCGCCGCCGGAGGAGCTGACGCAGGCCGCTGACGGGTGGTCACTGGAATAACCACTGGTTCCCAGTCTTGTCCTGTGTGGCCTGGACTTTCTTTTTTATCTTTTTAAATCAACTTTTATTTTTAGCAAAGTGATAGACATAAGCATTTTCAAAAAGTCAATTTATTCGACACAAAGGGAAATAGCAATTGCTTTTCTCACCTTTCCCAAACGCCAGTCCCAGGGGCCCCCCCTTTATGCTTTCAAGGTTTCTTTCTTCTTCCTCGTTCCCCCTTCTTCCTTTTCTAAGCAGCATCTAGCTTCTGTAACAATTTCCCACGATCATTTCTAAAATATTTATTTAATGTGTACACGGGTGCCCGAATGCAGGTATGTACATTATGTGCTTTCAGGTACCCATAGAGCCCCAAAGAGGACATCAGGTCCACCTGGAACTGTAGTTGCAGGCAGTTGTGATGTGGGTGTTTGGAACTGAACCCCAGACTTTTGCAAGAGCAGTGAGTGCTCTTGATGACTGAGCCCTCTCTCCAGCCTTTCCTGCCGTTTTCTCTTGTTACTCTAGTTGGTAGATTCTCTTCCTGTAACAAGACCCGCTGTAGCTCAGTGGTAGAGCACCTGCTTACCTAGTGTTTGTGAAGCTCTGGGTTCATTTCCCGACACTAGAAACACAACCACTTTCCAACTGGATTTAAGGCCCACTCAACAAGATGAGATTCAACCTAGCACCATTCTAGAGCTGACAAATAGTAGTTTGGCATTGGCAGGCAACCTTGGCAGGTTGGAGCTAAGGGGCATCACAAAACCACACCATGCAAAAGAGCTCACATGGGAGGTTTATTGTGGGGAGGAGGTGTATTGGGAGGCAGCTTCTGAGGGCAGAAGGAAAGGGAGCGATTGG